AAGTTCCAACTTGATGAGCATACTCGCGTCGCGTACTTGAGTCCCTTTCCGATCAAATGTCAGTAAAAATAGGCTTCTATAAATACATTCCATTAGTGTGATTTGGTTCCTGATTTTTTCTTGTTTTTGAAACACGACTTGATTTAACCTCAACTGACTATAATTTATTTGCTTATGTACAAAAATCCTATTTAAAATTGATAGGATAGTTGAAGCATAGAAAACGTGCATTGATCTAATCTATCAATTGTGGTGGATTTTGATGTCACAATGAGTCTACATGATTACAAACTTCATTCAAATGACCGTATTCCCTGGAGATAGGAGAATTTGACACTTAGGGCCGCATGCACTAACATTTCTGCTGGGGAGGGGATCGCAGCTTCAGAAGAAAGCTTCATATCCTGAAGCTCCGGATATCTGGATTTCACGCTGTCTACCTGTCCGCAAGTGCTCCCACCATCCTTCCCGATGAACATATTGAGCAGAATCGAGAAGCTGTACAAGCCGCATTTCCCAGCTTTTTGTAGGATCCCCTGATGATCCCAGGGGGACGAACATCTATTCTTCAAAGTCATTTTTCTTTCTCCGAAGTTAACGAAAACCTTCCAAAGTTATACTAAACATCTAAAACAACAGTGCTAAGCATGTTGCTGATGAGAACAAATGAATTTTTGCAAAAGCGAATTTTTCGGTATACCCCGAATTTCGACCTGTGGATCATCGAAAATTTCATGACTTCGAAACATCATTTGTTCTTATCAGCAACATGATTAGCACTGTTGGGTTAGATAATCTGCACAACTTTGGAAGTTTTTCGTTAACTTCGGAGAAAGAAAAATGACTTTAAAGAAAAGCGCCGGGGATCATCAGGGATCATACAAAAGCTGGAAAATGCGGTTCGTACAGCTTCTCGCTCCTGTTCAACATGTTCATAGTGAAGGATAGTAGGAATACTTATGGATAGGTACACAACGTGAAATCCAAGTATCTGGAGTTTCGAAATATGAAGCTTTCTTTTAAGCTGCGATCCCCTCCCTGCGGCCATGTTAGTGCATGCGGCCCTTAGTCAATTTGCAGCGGGGGTTGAAATTCTTCTAGTAAAACTTCGTTTTGATTCAATATTCATGGCTCAATTTGAGCCGATCATATCAAAATGAATGAAGTGAGCGTAAGCATTAGTGACACCAAAATTATAGGCTGTTCAAAATTATGACGATGCTGCCTGCTAGTGATAAGAATGCAAAAAACTGTTTACGCCATAAAATCGAGGCCAAGCGATGCTTTCCACGCGTCTCAAAGAATTTCCAAACTTCCATTTTTGCTGGTGCATAATTATTCTTTCATTGCCAAACGTAAATAACTCAATATTGATTACCTAGTCATTATATACTAGGTTGAGTCAAATATAATGAGAACTTTTCGCTCTTCAACTCAGTCTTTCCTAAAATTCGAGATTAATGACTAACAAGTAGTCTAGACTGTGTTCTGCGTTTCTTCTTCTTTTTCGGCAGTTATATTGCTAGACTATACTCACTAATGATTGGCGAAAAGATTCCAATTTCGAACCACCTTTTTAGTCTAGCTAATCCTCAAAATTTTTATTTAGATTTTGAGAAATTTTGATCACATACAAACAAGCGGACTATTCTATTAGGTTGCTGCATAAGTTCTGTCCGAAGTGAATTTTTTGAGTTCAGAACGTCGTAACTTCTTCCAAAGTCAACTTTTTCCAAGATCTCAGTTTCTATGTGTTGAGCAGTTCCTTGGCTATGAGACACATATTGAGACCTGCGCACATTCTTGTTAAGGAAGAGGCAAGAATGCAAAAACTTCACGCGCTTTTCTTCAAATCTGTTTTTTTTTTGACATGGCAACGCTCCCTTATGAGAACTGATAAACATCTTATCTAACAATGGACAGATAGAGAAATTATCGTAAATTATTATGCAACATTAAAGATAACATAGAGTCTGCGCTGCCGAGAGATTTTTTTAACCGAGCAAAAGAGAAGCCACTTTTTGATTAGCACATGTGTGCATGCCTATTTACGAATTATGAAAATTTTACAACTGACGTGAGCGCCGAAAAGAAATTGGTGGATGGACCCTGCTAGCTCTTGCCTTGCCCCAGCACCTCCAACTTTGCTTATCGATTACATCTATTCGCAGAAAATTTTTGATTGTAAAACATCCATGCCAAAAATTAATGTTTGACGATAAATTTTACTATCAAGACGTTTTCTTCATGGGACCGAACTTCTGCATATCCCAGCCTTCTATACCCTTATTCCGCAGCCAATGAAAGAAATTGTCTTGAAGGGCGCATTGTGGAGATTTCCTCGCAAGAAGAAATTTCTAGGGTGAAAACGTACCTCGGCCACTTAGAGATTTTAGGCCTGAAATCTCCGTACACTAAAGAATTCATTGAAATTTGATATGCGTTGGAAAGAGCAAGGAAAGCACTTTCTAACGATACTAACAATGCTGCATTAGAGATGAAATTCTTTTAGAACAGCTGATTCAAACATAAGGCAGAAAAAATCGGACAGAACTTATGCAGCAACCTAATATTGTATGAAGCAATCTTAGTCTCCCGAAACTAGAATTTTGGAGGTTTCTAGAATAACATTTCAAAGCCCTTGATGCGTGAGTCAAAAGCGCATCAAATTCCAAATCTGTGGAATCCAGAAGCTCTAGAATTCATTCAGTACCAGGCCCTTCCTATGACCAAGAGCATTTTCCGCTTTGAAATATCATGAATCAGAATTTCTGAAGACACCATGTCCAACTATAGACTTTGATGGCAAACACACTGAGCTTAAAAATGCGGCAGCCGTTTAGCAAATATAAAAGGTTGTCGTTGGAAACTAGACCTTTTTGAAGGGAAAAAAGAAATGCATTGAATATGTTCAGGAGCGCTTGTCTGTCGATATCGTAGGTTGGCTAATAAACAAGTTCGGTTTGACATGCAAATTCAAAATTCCATAACAATTCGAGTAGCAGTCAAGTAGCTAAGATTTCTTTGCGTGAAGGTAGCTTCAGGTGTCTACACTCAAATATAAAATAGTCAAAAATTTTTGTCACCGAAAATTGACACTCGTGCCCTTATATGGACATCTAGAAATCGCTTTTTTGAATTTCTAAGTTTTGTTCTCATTTTATAGTGAGTACACAGACGACTTATTTGGTGGTTAAATATGTACAACCTTTGGCTACATGGCTAGCTACAATGGAAGTTGTGATCTGGTGTTTGTGAATTTCAGCAGACAAAATGTGAGAATTTCCAGGCATTTGCTCATGGAAGGCAGTTTTTAATGGTCGTGCTGTTGTGTAAATGTTGTGCGGATGCTAGTCGTGCATTTTACACCCAACTTCAGCTCGTTTTTCGGAGCATGTTTTCCAAAATTTGATGAGAAAATCTGACTATTCCACTTTCCTGCACAATTTCGTTGTCAAGATGATTGGCGCTGAAATGGAGTTGACCATTCGACTCTACTAGCTTTCCTCCTTCCGATGATGCTATACGTTCTTACACAAATCAAATTGTAAATTTTCTACAAACCGTCGAAAACGACCGGACTTATTTCTTGGCCAACCTGATATCCGATTTTGATCATAGGTCCAAGAAGAGATGTAATGTCGCCATTAGTTTTGACTCACCCTAGTATTCATTAAGTAGTTCACAATGTCTATCAATCCTTTCTGAAGTATTTGTAAGACTGGCATCAACTTGAATTTACAGCACAAAATGGCCCAACCCCTCTTTCACTACTGAAGGATTACGGTAGAAGTTTCCACTACATTATCGCCATTGCCAGGGTTGAGCGTGGGGTCAGGCGCGCCCGACCTGGGGGGTCGTATGGGGGGTAACAGCAAGGGGGGGGGGCGTAATCGAGAGTCGAATTTGTACAAAAATGAGGAAATACTACGGTCGAGTAAGGTGAAGAAGAAAAGCGCTCAACCATGAATCTCACATCTCCACCAGAGGAATGACTCGTGAATGAACAGCATGCTGATTTACTCGACTAACGAAGTCTCAGCCAAATTTTCGTTCTTCTATTACACATGCCGTAAGGTCACCAAAGAAGCTTTTCATGTAGACTGAGTATGATCTCCTTAATAAGCATGCCAAATTACCTCAACGAGCTCCACAAACCATTGCCTATTACACTTTCTAGTGTTTCTTGGCGTTTAAAAAGCATGATTTTAAAACATGATTAACTTGATCACAAAAGTGAAAGAAGTGAGCTTTTTAGCATTCATAGCGAAGTATTGCTCTTAGACAGTCTATGGTATAAATTGGACTTCATATCGCTTTCAAATAATGGATTAAGAAGTGCTGCCAAAATGTTAGTCACCGCGTTTTCTACCTCGAGTGCCTCAACTCCACTGATCATTACAAAGCTAAAACAAGTCGAGGTAAGGTCAAACACCTACTGTAGAATCTTCGAGGTTTGTGCTAGCGAATCATATAAAACTGAGGCAAAAAAGCTTCTTCGGTGATAAAGTTAATCGGGTCAGGCGCAACCCCTCAAAAGCTCAGGCCGCCTGAGCTTTTGAGGGGTTGCGCCTGACCCCATTAACTTATCTTCAATCAACCGCAAACTTTCCACTTTTCCACCCATACTTTTGATTGATCCTTTCTCTCTCCACAGCCAAAATTTGATCAGATTTAGGTCACCTCTCGAAAAAGTTGTCAATGGTTAATCCCACCCATCCACCGGTGACGATCGTCGTTTTTGTCCCCTTCAATTTCGTCCTACTGTAAAACGCACCTCGTGCATTTCTGCGATTGCCGTCCCTGTCACCGGCGGCTGTCACCAAGTTTTTTTGTTCCTTCCTACTTTCTTTCTTTTCTAGCTCTTCTCAGTGTTCCTCCTCCACTTAAGGTGTTGTCATGTCCGTGTTATTGTCGGATTAACGCGTTATTTGTGCGGAAATGGATCGCAGGAATACAAGTTAGAGTGAGCAAATGCGGAAAGAAGATAGTTGCTGCAGATGCAAGCAATGTAAGCCCAAATTTTATCGAGGTTTTTTCTTTTTTTTTCACATATTTGATTGTTTTGGCTGCAATAACCAGTAGTCTTTTCTCTGTTCAAGTCCCGTCATAGTCACTGCGCGCTATTGCAGCTTTGGAACATGCTGTGTAAATAGTTTTTGGAAGTTTACATTGCGTCAAAAGAATGAGTGGACAAATTCGTGCAGTTTTGTTCTTGCTAAAATGAAGTTTGATTCTGAGCATCGCGCAATTTTGACTTTCTAGATAAACCATTTCGAGTAAAAATTTTGCACATTGCAAAGGTGAACTGAGCTCACCAAATGTGCACCTGAGACTGGATTAGATATTGAGGTATTCATGAGCATTCCTGTCCGTATAACTTGCTAAAGCTCAGTTTTTATGTTTAGGCAGTGGTCGGCGAATTTGATTGGAGTGAAGCTGTACAAGAACAGATTCTTGGAGCCTTTTTCTGGGGTTACTTTTGAAGTCAAGTGGGTTCACCTTTTTTGTTCTCTCTGAAGACCTGAGCATCGTTCTGGTAGTCATATGATGGTTTAGGTCTTTGGTGGTTACTTGCTCTCATGGTGGATGAAAACGAGTAGTCCTTACTTGTATTTTAGGCTCCTCTCTACTTACACTAGCTAGCCCTGTAGCCGCTCGTACCAGTCCTTATGTTTTGGTTGCCCTTCGTGTGGCCATCGGATTTCTGCAGGTAGGTTGTCTTTTTTGCTTAAATATGCACTTCCTAGATGTTTTGTATTCTCTTGCAGGGTGCAACATTCCCTGCAATGCACACAATGTGGTCAGTTTGAGGTCCTCCGCTTGAGCTCTTTCGATCCTTACTGTGCAACCTATGGAGGTAAACCTACTATGACTCTGTTTTTTGTCGTACTAATGCATGAATATCTAGGTCAGATTGGAAATGTATTTGTGTTGCCGTTTTCGGGTTTCTTCTGTCAGTATGGTTTTGATGGCGGTTGGCCGAGTATCTTGTACATTTTAGGTATGTTCCTTCATTGATTAAGTCAGGTGTTCTCCCGTTTTTTTCAATGGTCTTTTTCTCAAGGACTTATGGGAGTGGTATGGTGTGCTATTTGGATGTACATGTCTTTTGATAGACCTATAAATCACCCCCGAGTCTCTGAGGCAGAAAAGCAATTCATCACAAAGGCTGTTGAAGAAAGTGTGGGAAAACACACAGGCAAGGTTGGATAAACTTTGAAAATAACTAGAAGTTTACGTCTTCTGTTTTCTTTTAGGCCCCTAGCACACCAAAAGGTATAATTCTGACATCAAGAGCCGTTTGGGGCTGGTTCGGTCACTTTGCCGGCGATTGGGGAGCTCACACTATGGTATGTGCTAGGTCTCGATCTGTTCTTAGTATGTTCTCTAGAAATATTTCCAACCTTGACTAATTGTTAGCTGTACTAGCTTTCGTTTGTTGTGAACTTATCATTTGTCATATTCTTTGTTCCACCTTGTCAAATGTGATCTCATCAGTTTTTCTGGATTTTTGCTACGAGAACAGTTTTACCATTTTAGTTTGGAGTGTTCCGAGTTCATCATTGCATGCCGATCTTCTTGCATTTTGGTTGTGCTGGTTAGTCACGATTAGTCGTGTTGGAGAGCTATCACAATCGAAATGTAAGAAGATCGGCATGCAATGATAATGTTACAGTTGTGTTGGCGCGATCAATCGCGACGATGATTCAGTGAACTTTGCCCGAGGCCTAATCCTGACGGAATAGAAAACCTCTATATGCAGAAAAAGACTCGTAGGAGAAGCCGGTTTTTTCTGTTTTTGCGTTCACCAAAGCGACTCTCGGATTTAGCATAACGGATCTCAAGTAGGCAAAATGTTGGGTTGATTTTTAACCTAGCGAAGCATCCAAACTTCTTTTCTCTTTTACTTTCTATCATCAAAGGGTGGTGCTATGGAGGAAATGAAAAGATATCACGGCTAATTGGTTTGGATCCTCCGAAATTCTAACAATTTGTGTTTTGAATGTTGACTTTTGGTACTTTTGTAACCTTAGAGTATATTAGTTTATAGTACTGCTCGTGCTTTGCGGAAGACTTGAAACATATGTACTGTGAATTTTATCAAAGTCATTTCGTTTTCTTATATGAATGGTTTTGCGATTGGGTGGCAAAGAACTGCATCTAATATCATTTACTAGAATTCTCTTCTAATCACCCATAGAAATGAAAGGATTTGGTCAATAGATCTATGTGAGAATTCGAGAAAAATGCTATCAGAAATGACATTATAACAAATAGTCTCTTCAAATCAAATATATTGCAAAAATGTTTAGAACCACTGTCATATGGAACGATTGTTCTCCCTGTTACTACCTGTACAGAGATGTAATGATCCGAACTTTTGCACGAATTCTCTTTTCTCCCTCTATCCCTCCCCCTCCCAATTTCGCGAGCATTGCTCACAGCAATTGAAAGGTTTCTTCTAGTTTTTCATGTATGCCATTTTCAAAGTGCTTTTACAGCAAAATAAATGTGGAACTTTGCTCTTGTTCTATTGCCGTGATACCTACAGCCAAAAGAAAGATTCTTTTCTAAAATTTTTTAGTATTTTTCGAGAGTTTTTAGTGTTTTTGTTTTGTCCGTTGTGTTTTTGCTGATTTCTATTTCCTTAGCGCGCTCAAAAATTGCTTAATAAGAAGTCGACAACTCCACAAAAGGTACTAAATCTTGAAAATAAGTTCATCGATTACATCGGAGAACCGCTGTCGAAAATCAAAAAGTTCGAAGATTCTGTATGCTAGGAAAGACGAGAGCTGGGGGGGGGGGGGGAAGGGGGGTCGTTTTCGGTCGGGCTGCGCCTGACCCCTTGCTCAACCCTGGCCATTGCAAACACCTATCATTTTCAGAGAAAAATTCCGAAAACTTTGGAAACTTATTTGGCGGGATTTTTGACCTTGATGATTCTATAAATGACTCTGTACATTGCAATGCAGTTTGAATAGATCAATGAGATTTTTTTTAATTGTTGGAAGAATTCCCTCACGATATATTTGTCGTAACTTCTTAGATGATAATCACAGTAGAGCGTAAACCTCATATATGGAGTCAGTAAGTCTAATCTGTGGCCGTATTCATCAACGAACCCAGTGGGTTCCTGAACCCATTGGGTTAGTGCTTTTGATGCCTGTGGCCGTATTCATCAACGAAAACCCAGTGGGTTCCGGAACCCAGTTTAGTGCTTTTGATGAATATCGATGTAGAATCGATATTCATCAAAACCACTAAATGGGTTCCGGAACCCACTGGGTTCGTTGAATACGGCCACTGGTAACCAAGCAAAGTTTCCCCTTTTTTGGCCAGATGCTTGAGGGCAATCTATGTCTCACTGGCGCAAAATTTCTCAAAATTCTCAGCGTGATCCTGCAATAACGAAGAGTGATCAGTGATTCGTTTTTAGACGTTAACCTAAGCTGAAACTCTATGTAGTATCCGCGACTGATCAGACAAGAAAACTACTGGCGATCAAAAAAGTTTCGACACATTTTTGAGACACCGTGTATGAAACGGACAAACAAACCTCGGCAAAGTGATAGCAGTGGACAACAAAGTCATAACAATGTTTTCATGAAGATCGACGAAACACATGGCAGACTTGACAACAAACTTGGTTTATAGATTCGGCTGTTTTGTAAAATACATGTGACTTGGTGCTTTTGGTGGGAATGTTAACAAGGTAAGTGCCATAATACTAGCTTATGTGCTTCTCAGTATAGCAAGGTAGAAGGTTACAGCTAAGTCCAGCAAAAAGCAAACAACTGATTAAGTTTGAGTTTTTGATTCATTCACGAAAAGTAATTCAGTTTCAACAGCGTTAACAGCATGCTCAATGATCAACACTATGCATTACGATTTTTTTGAACTACCATGTTGTAAACCAAGTCAGTGCCATATTATACATGATTCTTAGATCGCGATTGCCAAAGCGTACTGAGGCATAGTCTGTCCTCCATAATTTGCTAATTTCCTGACTCCGATTTTTTCCTGTACAAAACCAATACTGATAAGGCTTCATGCATTATGCATTTCATGGGTGGTAATCGTTCTCAAAGATTAGCACAAAAGATCAATGTTTCCATAATTGATACTTGAAAAGTGGATGTTGATTAGAAGGTACTTGATCTATTACATTAGCTTGAAGAGTGCGAGAAAAACGGCTGAGTAGTACTCAATGCGAGCAGATAATTTTGATAAGTTTGCTCTGCCATTTAAGCTGTACATGTACTTGTGTGGCCACTCTTTAGACACTTTCTTTTCAACGCTATATTCTTGAAACAAAAAAGAACTCATTCTGCTTTTCTCACAAACCTTGATGTCGGTGGAAATACAATTTTGATAGTTTGCTTGCTGTTGAGTAGTGCTAAAAACAGTAATAGTGCTGAGCACAAATTTAAACAGCAAGATATCCGAGTAACCAGCTTTTTAATGATTCATATTAGTTTATGGCCGAGATAATGCAAGGATGATGGAGAAATGAATATCAGACCCATTTTCAACTTCGTATGAATCTCCTCATAATTCACTCCACTTATAGCTCGTTGCTAAGCGAAAGCCAAATTCGAATGAATTGAAAATCATTTCTGCCGAGGTTTGGGCTTCACCGCATCCTTTGAAACCAGGAGTAGGAGGAGTAGCAAACGCTATAGTACGCTGAATCACTTCGGGACCGGAGGTGACTTCAAAACAGAGTATAAGTAGTACCACAGTTGCGGACCGAGGGAGGGGAAGGGCCCCCCCGAGATCGGGTCGCGAGGTTTTTCGAAGTCACCTATAAAATTGTGTAAGTGATTGGCTGGTGGCGATGTTAGGGTTACTAGCGGAAGCAAGAAGGTCGCTCCCGAAGCTGGGAGAATGACGCCGCATTGCGAGCGGCCCCGCCCACCTGCGATTTCCCTCCTCCGTTAGAGCCCTTTTTTCGCCGTTTATGCACTCTCGAGTGTGGATTTTCGGATTCAGCATAGCGAATAGGCCCAGGTAATCCAAATTCTCGAAATTGACTTTGTGCCTGAACACTGCCTTTAAGCAACTTCCTTTTCCCAATTAATTCTGCTTCTGCACCCTGTAGGATATCACTCTTTACTCTACCGGAGGTTAGAAATGATGAAAGAAATATAAAGTCTACACATTATTGTTTTGAACTTCGACACTAAAGTGAACGTGAGTACAGAAGGTTCTGATTTTTAAGGTAATCTGCTGTCTTTGCAGATTTCCAAAAAAAATTACATTGCAAAAAGTACAAAAATTAAAATGTCGGAAACTATCTCGATTGATGTCGGTTAAGGTTGTAGATAATGAAGCACAAAGGTTGTATATGTATGCGCTTCGTTTGATCCATTTCGAACTTTTAAAATTAACCAACTACTTCTTAGACATTTGTACTTGTTGAGCGAAGGTATTGCTCCGAGATGTTTTAGCTAGAAGTGATCTGTTAGCATAATCAGGCAAAAAGAAGTCACCTTAACTCCAATAGAAAGTGAGCACTTTGTAACTCACCTTTTTGAACTCTATCTCGATTTTGGAACTTGAATCTATGCTACTGAAACCTCGTTTTCAAAGCTTTTCTTTTGAGTTCATTCTGGACAAAGTAGTGTCTTCAATGTCTGTCATAGCCTGAGAAATCAGTTGCAACACCTTTAATTCTCTCGATTTTGGTAGCTCATAAGATGTGGATCTTATGAGCTCCCAAAGTAAGAGGGAATGCATTGACGCATCTGTGCATTAATGGCAAGAGATTATTATTGGTATATGCAAAATGATGCATGTTTTTTTACTGCTTTTTTAAAGCTGCTTTTTCCACAAGGCTTTTTTCCATGAACTTTTTAGTAATTTCCAGACAATACAGATGCAGTTTCTTTTGCCTTCCAATGCACAACCACTTTGGTCTCCAAGTTCCTATGCCCGTATGTTTACGCTCTTATGTCCTCGAGTAGGAAATGTCAGAACCTGAACTCCTATGCTTTTTTGTTTAATCAAACTAAGCAAAGATCATGAAATACAACTAGTAATAGAGGAGAGATTGGTCTACACCGCTGAGTAGTTTTTCACCTTTCTTTGCAGTAGCTGAATTCAAAGTTAAGCAGTGGTCGTGAACCCAGTCTGCAACTAACAAGAAATCGTAAGACATACTTATGAAATGCGTGCTCGCAGAAGAGTCGTTCAGTACTTTGAAAGTAAAGTGTAACTTTTGAAGAGTCAGTCGTCTGAAATTGCACTTGCCTTCTACCAGACAAACAGTCCTATGCACCGAATTGTAAAGATTTGAGCTACGGAAAAGAGTCCAAAACCTGAGTTGTATTCGACTTGGATGGCGCGGATCATCGATCTATCAACCACTTTTTAGTAACGGGAATAGATAGGCCGGTTTGACCTCTCAACAGCTGTAAATATGGGTGGTGAAGGGGAGCAGCCGGAGCGCGAAGAGAACGGCTGCTTCAACGGATCGGATATTTAAACGAGCCGTCGAAGAGAGGCGGATCTCTCCCACCCCCCCCCCCACCCTAGATAGAGATAGCCTAGAGAGCCCTGTTGAGGGCCAAATCGGGTGGGATTCCTGCTGTACATAGAGTTTAGTTCTTGTTGCAGTTATTTTTGTGGCATTAGGATAAACTATCTTGTATGTACTCAACCCGTGTTCTGCATCGATGAGGTTAATACAATCACTAGACCACACCTCGCTACATTTGTATTTTGTGCAGGAATATCGACAAGAGATCTCAACAGCTACTTACGTGCTGCTAACTTCTGGCTAGGTACTAGACACGCAGGGTGTCCCGAAAAGAGTGCACACTGTTTGGTCGTCAATAACTCTTGTTTGAATGTCTTTCGCCGAGCATGCGGTACCATTCTATAGAGCAAGGTTCAGCTTAGATTTACAGCATAGAGCGAATCTCCTACCTTCATTCGTTATTGTATGATCACAGTAGGAACTTCGAGCATATCAGGCCATTGCCTCAGAAAAAAAAAGAACAAGTTAGAAATTCTTGTACTAGGCTTCTCGGAGCTTCTTTCAAAAGTGAGATTTGCACTTCTGTAATGGTTCTTCCATAAGTTATTTCAGGTCTAGGATAACGATTGTTTCCAGTGTTTATCAAAAGTGCGATTACAACACTAAGAAAGCTCGAAAATCTGAAGAAGTTGTCTAGAGAAGCACGCACCTTGCTATCTATATAAATTTCCAGACTCTTCGGAATTTTTGCTCTACGGAATTGTATCTAATGCTCGGCATAAGACTCAAAAGCAAAAGAGTCATTAAGGATCAAACACTGTGCACATCTTTTTGGGAAACCCTGTATTTTCACTTTACGATCTGTCAAAGAGGACATTTGGAAGAAAATTTCTTTGTTAATTTTGGTCCCTTGTACCAGTGCATCTCTGCCAAAACCAAGGCGAGTATGCATTAAATTGGCAAAAATTTGCTAATTATGACACAAATTTTACTCATCTGAAAATTGCAGTGTTTAAACGAAGTTGTATTTTTGTGGAGTGAAAGTTTCAGAACATGCACTGATTTCGCTACACAGCTTGATACAACAATTGCATTGCTAGACAGATACCCTCTATGAATGCAAACCCGAATCACACGTATACTGCCTGACACTCTGATATCTGCGTTGCACAAGAATGAATTCGCAACATGGAAATAATTGATTGGCGGTAGTGATTTTTGAAGACTTAATCAAACTCTCCTCTCCGAAGCATCATTTTGAAAGCAGTATGAGTGACTGGTGCTTAAGCAAAGTATCTCCTCAATAAAAAAAGGCAGTTGCAAAAAACATTTATTGTAATGGCATTGATCAAGAATCGGTGCAAGTATTATTGAAAAGAGTAAAGGCACAGGCGACTGCCATTCGTAGTACACCTGTTTTTGTGGAGCCACTACAGGTACATGCGACAATCACTGATTTGAATGGGGTTTCGAACAGCTGAAAATCCATATTTGGAGGACAACATTTTGTAAAAGACTTTCAACTTCCATAATGAATTTCCAGTCTCTCAGATTTGCCAAATACAGGACAGGGACAAAGAGACTCCTCATGAAAAAAAAAGGAGTTGCGTGATGGCGCGCCGGCTCGGATTGCGCATTTCCCGTGCAAGGCAAGCCACAATGATAACGAGAATAACAATAATGAGTTGACGCTCATCCATGCATTATTATGCTCAACCTCTAATTTACACCTTATACTTTAGACTTTTCACCTAATTTCAGAAGAACATGGCACTCACCGCACTCAGTTTCTCTGCATACTTTCTGACAAGATGCTTAGCTGAACTATTAGGAGTCTGGTATCTATAAATGCAAGAATTACAGCAAAACACGACATATTGGCATATTGGTGTTACCCGTTGTTGAAACCAGAAATCAGAAGTGCACTAAATCTTCCAACAAAATCTCCCCCGAAGGTTTTGATCAACAGTCTAGTATTGCTTGCCTCGCTCTTCTTGGTGCACTGAAATATAAGAATTCTTGCGAAGCAAAAGACACTATAAGCAACAATCTCTTTATTATCAAGAAACTAACCACTTTTACAGATGCAGATTTAAGATCCAGGAACAACTGAGTTTCCCTTTTCATTGCGGCGCTTAACTCACCGGCATAATCATTTTTATTGAACACTATTTGAAGCAAAGGACAGACCACCGTGACCTAAGAGTAGGAATGAGGTGTTGACATAAAACAGACTGGATTAGCTTACAGTTAGGAACAGACAGAGGAGCTGCATACTTAGGCACGATAATTCCATGGGCCCAGCCGTTTAAGTACTGAGCACTTATTGTTAGCTGAAAAATAAATAGATTTGTCAATCTATCATTGTTGTTTGCTTCCTAAATTGGAGTTTTCAAACTGATCTTTAAACTGGCTGGCAACCAGGAATATGAATGCACTATAAGATTCCATTTCTGTCATTGTCCGTCAATGCACTTTATCTGTCCAAGCTCGATCCGGCAGTGCAAAATGTCGATCTTTTCACGAAAACCGTTTTGCTGCTACTTCTCACTAAAAAGCTTTACGAGCTTGTTCTGTCATGTGTATGCTCTTGAATTTCTCATGAGGAACCATTTCTTGACTTCTACTACCCTTTGGCCCTTCTAATATAGACTCAACTCGATAGGAGTGCATCAATTGTATCATTGCATGGTCATCATTGTTCACTATTGCGACCGCTATCCAAAGGGTAAAACATTAGAGGCACCGTCTAACCAGATTCTCGCCTTCCAGGTTTCTATCGTTTAGGGGCCTTCTCATGTCCCTGATTCATATAAAGTCGAGAATTCGCGAAAACCCCAACAATCCCCGTTCCGGAGAACCCATAGGTCGGCTTTCCGGAACGTCGATTGGATGAACGCGCATGGATGGGGGAGGGCGGGCATGGATGGGGGTCCTCGTGCATCTTGGTTATTCCGGAGCGATTTTTTCGCTTCCGAACGACATTTTGCACTGCAAATTGGGCATTGGCTTGATAGGGAGCCCTACTAACATATGCTGCCAAAGCTCAAGACTCTCAACTTAGGATGGACGGTGCCTTTGATAGCAGACTGCAGAAAAAAGAGTAATGGATATTCTCTCACACTCTCTTTGATGAGTCAATGATGCTGATTTTTGATACCGCAGCTAAGATTGATACGTAAAGGCCACTGCTGTACGAAGGCGCAGAA